ACACGACCACCCCAACACTCGGCCCTCGTGGACAACAAACACGACCACCCCAACACTCGGCCCTCGTGGACAACAAACACGACCACCCCAACACTTGGCCCTGATGGCCAAGCTGTGAGGCCTCCTGGTGGCACAACCCTGCTCTGGGGGGCGTCTGCTGCCCTTGCCTTGGAGGTGGGTAGAGAACACCAGGTGCCTCCACCAGCAGCGTCTGCATCTCGTCATGTGAACCATGACGGTCCTGGCCAGTGCAGTGGAAAAGTCCATCCTCACTAAGGCCTCTCTTGAAATAGGAGACAAAAAAAAAGAACTGAAGCCGTGGCCTTTGACCACTCTCCTCTACGGACTCCTCTGGCCTGTTCAGAAACCAAAGACACAGAAGGGGCAAAGGGAGGATGGAGAAGGACCCTGGGGAAGGGCTCTGGGCCAGGCCCTGGGCTACGTGCCGTCTCTGGGTCCCCTCATCCCCCCTTCACAGGGGCTGGCAGGGGGCTTACCGTTATCCCCAGTAAAGAGTAAATGGGGCCCCAGGATGTTCAGGAACTTGTCTAAGGTCACACAGTTCACACTGACGAAGCCATGTCCATTCTCAGGCCCAAACTTCCCACCCATAGCTGGCAGCGCCCTTTCATGCGCATCAGCTGGAGGGTGATGTGCTGAAGAGGGTGAAGGTGGAGGGCCTGAGGCTGCCTCCATGAGCGCAGCTGCTTACCGGCCCCTCCAAGAGGCCTGGCTCACAGTGCCTGGACTGTGTAAACTGTGGCTGATGCTGAACCCCTGCTTTCCTTCTGGGAGCCTGGGATCTAGGTAGGAGCTAGACAGGGGCTGCTTACAGACCAGCCCCCAGGAAAAACCTTGGGCGCGGGTCTCTAACAAGCTTCCCAGGTAGACAGTACTTCACGCGTGTTGTGACAACTTGTTGCTGGGGGATCTGAGCACGTCCCGTGTGACTCCACCAGGGAGCACCTTCAAAGCTGGTGCCTGCTTCCTGGGGCTTCGCTCTGTGGTCCTTTTCCCTTTGCTGGTGTTGCTGTGTCCTTCCACTGATAAACCACAGCCACAGGTGTGGCCAGGTGCTGAATCCTGTGAGTCCTTCTAGTGAATCATCGAGCTTGAGGTAGTCTTGGGGACTCCCAACACAGGTGTGTAGATGAGGGGTGAGGGTAGAGGGTTAGAAGGGAGATCTGTTCAGTTAGCTCACGGAAGATCAGGAAACAAAATCCAAGTCTGGGAAGTGACACAAACCAGATGCCTGACCCGACTCCAGGGGTAAAAGGTACCTCCCAGAGTTCTCAGCAAGTGCCAGGCTCCAAGGCGGGGCAGGACATGAAGGTCAGTGGGACAAGCCCCTGAATGCAGGCACAGGCCTGGACATGGCGGCAGACACACGAGGGGAGGGTGAGCCACAGTGCTCACAGAGAGAGGTGCCAGGGCCCTCAAGGTGAGGGGCAAGCAACAGGGTGCTAGGGTGCGGGTGGGCAGCAGCATAAGCCCCCTAATGGATCAATACCAGCTTCAAGGAATGCTCTGCTGCCCTGTCCTTCCCGAAACATCAGGGATCCCCCTGGGGATGGTCAGAGAACAGATCTAGCAAAGTCCAAGCATGGGGGCCAGAGGAGGGACTCAGGGCTCCCCACAGAGCTTCCACCTACCTCCCGCCCACTGAGTCCTGGGGTGATCCAGGACTCACCTGCTATCTGCTGCACTCCCCTGTGCTCTCCCAGCAGCCCAGCGATAAGAGCATCGTATATATTGTAGGACAAAGCAAATGAGAACTGCACTGATGTTGCTAGGAACCGGATGTATACTGTAAGACAAGTGTGAGTATGGAATTGCGGATGGTGGGGACAGCCCTGTGGTACTGGTCTTGAACAGGAGCTACAAGTACGGACTTGTGACTTTTTAAAAAATATACATATTCTAGCTCTGTCCATTGAAAGGGCCAAGGAGCAGGGACACACCAGTAGCAACAAGCACAGTCAGCACCCAGATGTTGGTTTCTAAAAACCATTCCCCATTAAAAGGATCAGGGCTCGTTGAAGAAATGGCTGGTTCAGGTCTGGGGCCAGGGAAGTCCCAGTTGAGCTCAGAACATCTGCTTATCTCAGAAAGCAAGGACAGTTAAAGACTGAGGGAAACACGTCAAAATGACTAGAACTCAGATTGAAGGCCACTGGCCCAATCTGGGACAATCTGAACACTGAAAAGAATACTGATGGTAATGGACTACAACACAATGAGTTTAAAAAAAAGGATCCAAGACTCCACAGAGAACTTCAGAAAGGAGAGGAAAAAAGGAAATGCTCTTCTTTACAGACAAAGGTCAGATGATAAATGTAGAAAGCATGATACAATTAGAAAGTCACCATTTTGCACTGCTGTCATGTCCCCCCAAAATATCTGTCAACTTGGCTAGTCAATCATTCCCAGGATTGTGTTATTGTCCACCATTTTGTCATCTGATGTGATTTTCCTATGTGTTGTAAATCCTACCTCTATGATGTTAATGAGGCAGGATTAGAGGCTGTTATGTTAATAAGGCAGGACTCAATCCACAAGATTAGGTTGTGTTTTAAGTCAATCTCTTGAAATATAAAAGAGAGAAGTGAGGGACCTCATACCACCAAGAAACAAGAGCCAGGAGAATAGTGCATCCTTTGGACCTGGGGTCCCTGCGCTGAGAAGATCCTGGACCTTCCCCCAGCCCCAAAAGAGACAGAAAACCTTCCCCAGGAGGTGGCACCCTGAATTCAGACTTCTAGCCTCCTAGACTGTTAGAGAATAAATTTCTCTTTGTTAAAGCCATCCACTTGTGGTACTTCTGCTATAGCAGCACTACAAGACTAAGACAACTGCCAATGTTGTAACCAATTCGGGCAAGATTGTCACCGGATGCTAAGACCGTGAGGCAGAAGGTTAAGGAGTATCCACATGGTTTCAGGGCTTCAGTTACAAACAGCAAAGGTTCCTTTACACTGGGCATCTAGCCAGCATCATCCAGGCCAAGTGATGGAGCTTTGGGTCCCTACGGTGAGTGGGGGAACTTGCTCTCCTCTCCCCACAGCCAGCTCCCTCTCACCCACCAAGTCCCAGTGAGACGGCACTTCCTTCCCCTGATCTCCCTCTATGAAATCAGCACCCGTGACCTCTCTGCCCCAGCACTCTCCATCTCAGCTCCTGGTCCTTTACACTTGGTACATGTCACTTCTTCCTCATTTATTTGTTTCGTTGTCTTCTCCATTGCTGATCAGCTCCACTAAGTGATTCAGGTATAAAAAGGAGGAGCAGAATCATAGCCAGTGTTTTCACCCCTGCATGGGTGAAAATGACCTTGTTTGGGAAAATAGAGTTTTTCTTTGCAAATGTTATCAGTAAAGTTGACAAGGTCATACCTGAGAAGGGTGGGTCCTAATCCTAGTCCCTTCTGAGTGGAGTATTATCAAAGAGAAGGACAGACTTGGAAACAGTCACACAGGGGAAGACAGCATGTGAGGATCCCTACAGCTGAGGAATGCCAAGGAACCCCAGGGCTGCCAGAACTGGAAGAGACAAGGAAGGACTTCCCCTTAGAGCCAGCAGAGACAGAGAGAGAGCATGGCCCTGCTGATGTCCTGAATTCAGACTTCTAGCCTCCAGAACTGTGAGAGAATACACTTCTGTTCTTCAAAGCCACCACCTTGTGGTATTTTGCTACAGCAGCGCTAGGAGACTAAGACAGTCAGCTTGTGGTCCCTGGAAGGGAGCACCTGGCTCACAGGTCTCAACCACTGTTGGAAAATCCTTCAGACCCCTCCCCGCTGAACACCCCACGCAGAGGGCGATGGGCTGCCACAGGACTCTCAGCCTCCAGCTGGACTTCCTAGGCTCAGCACATGGTGGTTTCAGGCCGCTCTAGAATCATGGCGATTAGTTTACAGTTTCTGACTTACTCCTCCCTTCTCCCTGATTTTGTCCCTACTTAGTCCCAGTTGCTGCAGCAGATGTGTACCCCCCTTGGCGGGTTTCACCCTTCCCAGCTTGATGCTCCTCTGCCTCCTGCAACATGCACTCATTTCTACAGATGCAACCAACACAAGTCCCAAAGACCAGAGTCACCACCCTAGGGAAACTATCTCACCCAAACACCAGAGGGAGCAAAGTTCTTCTACACCAGAATTTGTTCTCAGAGTTTGTCCCTAGGGCAGAAAAGTAGGAGTTTAAAATATACTCAATTGCCATGGAGTTGATTCTGACTCATGGCGATCCCATGTGTGTCAGAGTAGAACTGCTCCACAGGGTTTTTAATGGCTGATTTTTCAGAGGAGATCACTAGGCCTTTCTCCTGAGACACCTCTGGGTGGACTTGAACCTTCACCTCTGGGTCAGCAGCCGAGCACGGTGACAATGTGCACCACGCAGGAACTCCAAACGAGGCTCAGTCCACGTGACTTCACACAGCTGTCTTCTCAGCACTTACCTGTGTGTCTGCATTTAGAACCTTGATCCTCTGGGTGGAGATGAAGAGGTCCACTTCGGTCAGCGTCTGGGCGTCCCCCTCAGAAGCCTAAGAAAGGACAGTTGATACAGTGACAAACCAGAAACATTAACTTGAGCAGAGGGCTGACGATTTTACTCATTCCTGAGCTCACACTGAGGGAAACGCTGCCTAAGAGGAAGCAGCCGTTGGAAAGCACCAATGCATGCAGCCTTCCCGCGGGATGGGGCTGGGTGGAGTCTAAAGGCAGTTTCTGAAGCACAGAGGGAAGGAAGGAGGAGAGCCGGCAGCCAGAGCCTGAACATCAAAAGGAGCTGGCACTGGGGTTTCATGTTCCAGCGTCCAGAGGGCAGCCCCTCCACTCAAAGGGGGGACCCTGCCTGCTAACAGCTGCATTCAGTGAAGGCCATGGTCTTGGGCTACATTCCTTGGATTTTGGATTCCAAGTATCCTCAGAAATGGAGAAAAAATTGTAAAAGAAGCTGGATTAAAATATCAATATTTCCTTCTGATTTAGTCACAATCATTTGGGCCCCCAAGCAGCCTTGGCCCCAGTCTTCCAAAAATCCTCAGGTGAACAAGACCTGGGACTTGACTCACTGTCTGGGTGCTGCCTTCAGGGTGACAGAGTACCCTGAAAAAACAAATCTCCAATACAGTGTGCTCACTATATGGCCCAAGTTGTTGCCATTAACTGCCATCGGGTCGGCCCTCAACTCATGGTGACCCCATGCACAGCGGAACAAAACGCTGCCTGGCCCTGTGCCATCTCTGTGATGGGTTGCAGACTGGACTACTGTGATCCACAGTTTTCACTGGCTGATTTTTGGAAGCAGATTGCCAGTCCTTTCCTCCTAGTCCATCTTAGTCTAGAAGCTCTGCTGAAACCTGTTCAGCATCATAGCAACACTCAAGCCTACACTGACATAGGGATGGTGGTTGCACTGAGGAACTGAACCTGGGTCTCCCGCATGGAAGGCAAGCATTCTACCACTGAACCACCACTGCACCTCATATGGCCCTTCCAAACCCAAACCTATCGCCATCAAGTCGATTCCGACTCACAGCGACCCTATAGGACAGAGAAGAACTGCCCCATAGGGTTTCCAAGGAGCAGGTGGTAGATTCGAACTGCGGACCTTTCGGTTAGCAGCCAAGTTCTTAACCGCTGCAAAGCTGAGTGAACCACTGGTCTGCCCCAATCCAGGACAGTCTCTAATTGGGTTTTACATCTGTGGGAATCCCGATTACTAGAGTGTAGTGGCAATAACGTAGAAGTTCTTTTGGTTTGCTCACCGAGGTAAGTCATTCTTTGTGGTTACTCGGGAGCCCACGGTAGTGTATCTTCTACTTCAGAATAGTAGAAACTGTGATTTAATTTCTCACTAAAACTAAAAAAACAAAACCATTGCCATGGAGTTGCTTCTGACTCATAGTGACCCTATAGGGTTTCCAAGGAGCAGCTGGTGGATTTGAACTGCTGACCTTTTGTTTAGCAGCTGACCTCTTAAACACTGAGCCAACAGTGGTCCATTTTCTCAACAGAAAATCTAAAAAAAATCTCCCTGCTGACAATTCCTTCTGAATTCTGAGATGCTGTGAGGCCCTGTATTATACTGATAAACTTGTATTGTAGCTCAACTTTCAAAGGAAAAGGTCTTTGGGGCTTTTTTAGTCCACCACTCCTCTTAACTGATGAGAAAGATTAACAGAGCCCAAAAGCTCCAGGTGAGATAATGTCTGCAGGACTGTAGAGAAACTTACTTTTTGTGTTTTAAAAAATTAAGTTATATTTTTCCTAAACATGCTTTGAAAGGTTATATTCTGTGACTGCAGCTCAAAGGCTTCTTACTAAAATAGGTTAGCAACACACACGGGGTTGCCCTGAGTTGGAATCAACTTGACGGCAACTGGTTTTTAAAGTCGGTTGAACCAGAAGTGGCTTATAAGAGTTGCAGGTGAGGCCTGATTGTAGTGGCAATTTTAGAGGAAACGTGCACCTTGCAGTGAACTTGACCTGAGAAGAGGGGCTGACTGGAAGCTGATGAGACTCAGGCTGGATACAGGGGACCACTGGATACAGGGGACCATCAACAATGCGAATCCCACAGAGGGACGCAGAGGAGCACGTGGGCCTCTGCACACCTGGGGACAGGGGCTGGGACCCCAGACTCCCATGTCACCATTGAGCCTGTGGGCTCTCAGTGTGAACACCATTCCAGGGCCACGATCACCTCTGGGTCATCCATTTGCCTCTCCACGTGTAGCCACGCCAGAGAAGGGGTCCTGGGCAGCGACCTGGGCATCTCACGCCCTGAGAAGGAAGCAAAACCCGGAGTCTAACGTGGGCAGCTGGCTGCCTGGCCTGCTGTGGAGTCATTTCTGCACTGGGTCTGTCTGCGTCCCACCCTCAGGAGTGTGATGGGGCAGGATCTCTGGACTTGTTTAAGGACCCCTGCTCCAGCTGCCCTGGTGTGGGGCAGGGAGATGCGGGTGTGGACCGTCTTCCTGGGGGAGGCCCGGCCCATTCTGCGTTCCTCAGAGCACCCAGCAGGAACTATGCTCGCGCAGGGGAGACGCACATGGTCCCCCATCCTGTGGCCAAAGGGGAGCAAACGGAGATGCTGAGACACCACTGAGAGGAGACACCATGCAGAAGAGAAGTGTCACTGCAGGGGGAGCCACCGGGCTGGCCAGCCACAGCCAGGAAATGGTCTGGTGTCAGGGCAGGGTGGGGAGAGAGGGCCACCTCTCTTGCTGTTTAAACACGTCTGCCCTGTGCCTCCTGACCCTGAGCGCTGTGATATTTCTGTAGTGCAGGGGTACCTGCACTTGCTAAATGACTAGGCTTACAAACTAAAGACTAAATGGCCGCCCCATTTTGAAGTCTGCCCATGCTCCAGAGCATACTTTCAATACAGAAAGCAATCCAAGCTCCTCGTCATCCTGATCTAGCAAATTAGACTTAATGAGTCTTTCAATATTAGAACAATGTAACTGGCACTGTACCAGCGGCCTCGGCACTAGACACGTTGCGCTGTCACGTGAAATGCCACCGGCGCGTTTAGAGATGTCTATGTAAAATAGTAACGCCATTATGCTAGCCATGCTCCAGTACAGCGGAAGGGCTAAAACAGTGAAAGGAAAATGAGCAACACTCTCTGCAAGTGGGTGAGGAACAAGTCTCTTGGTTCTATTCACAAGGCTAATATTCATCTGCCCACGCAAATGAGAACACTGCTTTGCAGCACTGTTTGCATCCCTCATGGAAAACCCCACCGAGCAGGATAAGACACAGCAGTACAAGCAAACGCCACCCTCCAGGGCAGTCTTACACACCGCTTTCTTCTTGATTTTCGCCGCCTTCTGCATCCTCTGTGCAGCAGATGAGAGAAAGGAAAGACAGACAGAGACTCAGAGATGGGGGGTGGCGGGGCAGTGCTACTTTGCCGCGTGGTCAGCGCCCGGCTACTTAGACCCAGCACTGAGCAGAAGACCTCTGTGTGCACAGGCAGACAGCTGCCCCTTCACCAGGGACACAGGCTGGTTGGGAAAGCCCCTCACTCTTGCTCTTGAGAGCTGGAATTACTGAACCTCATCCTGGTCTTTGGGTGTGGCCGAGGATGGGAGAACGCAAATCCGCTGGCAGAGAGCATGTCGCTCTCCAGGGTGGAGGAGTGAATGGGTTTCTTGGGGCAGGCGGTTGGCCAGGTCACTCGGCTGAGGGCAGTGGCCACAAGCAGGGCTCTGCGTCACTCCTGGGCTGCTCACTCTCTCCTGTCCACCATGGAGGGTTGACGCCCAGTGCCCCGCGGCCTCCTTTAAAGGAGGTCGGTGTGTGGGTGGGTGGGGCATGCTTTCTCACCCCCCACGTACAGGCGGTGTCTGCAGACACCACACTGCCCAGAGGGGCCGCCGCCTCCCTGCATGTCCCCTTCCAGCCTCGCCAGCTCTGCACCAGTCCAACACCAGATCATGCAACACAGGCCTAGAATCTGCAGAGGCGTCAGAGTCCCTTGAGGTTGTGCATTTAAATAGGACACAGGGCGGCTCTTCTCCCCTCCTGTAAGACCTTTCAATGACGTAAAAATACATACACCATTTAACTGGGACTTGAGGCTCCAAGCAGGCATGTTGCATGACCAGAGTGCTATAAAAATCATTTTTCCAGCTGCTCAGGAGCACTGGGGAGTCCCCAGCCTGAGCATCCTCCAGTCCTAGCTAACGTCCCCTGGGCCTTCAGGGTGCCTCTGCTGGTATTCCTGCTCTCACCCAGAGCTGTGGGGTCAGGGCACTTCTGCACGGGGCTGACACAGAGGGCCCCCTGGCCAACACATCTTCCCCCCTCGGTGCTCGCCAATAAATCAGAATCTGGCGTGGATGGGCTGGCATGAGTGGGCCCCCCGGGGATTGGCTGTCTGCTGCTCGGACACTACCTTGACACGGCTGACGGCTTCCTGTGCCTGCACCATCCTGATGTTCTTGGACGGGTTCCGCTCTGACAGCAGCTGGGTGGACCCCAGGTAGTTGGCAGCAAAGATGATCCCATCGATGAGGTCCTCGGGTTCACAGGGCCCTGGAACTGAAGGGGCACAGAGTCAGGGCTCTCCAACACAGGGCTCACACGGTGGTGACGACGAGACAGAGGGGCAGGGCACAGTCACCACCTGTGAGCCTACTGAACACAGGCAAGTCACTGCACAGGCAGCCCCGCCTAGAAAACTCCCACTGTGGGATGAGGAGGGCAGCTGTGGGAACCCAGACAGTGGCCACTGTGCCACCCAGCCTCCAAGGGGACAGCCATGTGCTGCGATACCAGAAGGCACCATTCCCCAAACGTGACAGCACTTCCCAGGCCTTCCACGAAGCCCTGTGGTACTTGTGATTTGTGGCTGCAGACTGTCCTTTACCCTCAAGTCCTTCCCATGCCTGTCCCCCATCCCCCCCCACCCCTGGGCTCCTGCCTGCCCGCAGCCTCTCAGGATGCCCACCCAGCATCTCAGGTCCAGGCTGCACAATGTGGTCCTCTAGACCAGCGCCGTGCACCAGAACTCTTTGGGATGATGGAATATTCTAGACTTGTGCCATCCAATGCAGCAGCTGCTAGCCACATGTAGTTTTTGAACACTTGAAATGTGGCCAGTGTGACTGAGCAACTAAGTTTTCTATTTTATTTCATTTTAATTAATTTAAATACAAGGAACCTCACCTCTGCCATGCAACATAAAAGCAACACAGACAATGTGTAAAGCGTGTTTGAGCATGGCTGTGCTCCAAACACCTGCCTTCAGGGACACCCTTGCTCCTCCTGATCACAGCCAAGCCTCTGGAAAGCAGTGCACACACATGCCCGCCCTTCCTCTGCACGCCAGCCAGGCTCTGCTCCACCACCCCACCCACGCAACATTTGCTGATGTCACCCAGGAATTCCGTGCCACCAAGTCTGCTAGACTTCTTTCTGCTGTCATTTCACCACTGCCTTCCCGAGACACAGTTTCCTGTCTCCTCCTCCCTCTCTGGCTTCCCCATCTCAGCTCCCTGCAGGCTCACCCTTCTCCCTGAATGCCTGACGTCCGCCTGACGTAGCCATGGGGCCTCTTCTTCTGCCCTCCCTCTGCCAGACCGATGCTCCCCTGGGGCTGCAGTGGCCCCTGTGTGTAAATGACACTGTCATTCTCTGAACTCCAAACTCATATAGTCAAGAGCCCACTGGAGGTTCCTCTTGGGCAGCTCAAGACACCTCCATCTCAAAATGCCCAAAGAGAACCCTCCACCCACCTCCGTCCCATCTCCACCACGCTTCCCTACCACACATAACGCTGCCGCCACCGCCATACTCCCAGCCACACAGACAGAAACGTTGCCCCTTCTCCTTCACCCCTCAGGTCCAACCCATCCCCATGTCCCGTCAATGCTGCCCACCAAGCATATCTTGAGTTCGTCCACTTTCTCCAATTCCGCCACCAACATCACCCACTGCATCTGGGACAATGACAACAGCCCCCAACCAGCCCATGTGAATCCATCACCCCCAAACAACGTCCATGCTGCCTGAGAAGGTCCCTCTGGATCATGAACCTGACCAGTTTTCCTCCAGACCTCTTGGGGCCTTCCATTATTCTCCGATGGAAGGCAGGGCCTGTCCTGTTGACAAATGCTGCCTTGCCACACACTCCTTCCTCCCTGCACTCCGCCCACAGTGGCACTATCTGGAGCTCTGTAAGTGCCATACTTCCTCCTGCCACAGGGCCTTTGCACCTGCTGATCCACACCTGAAACGCTTTCTCTGTCCTCCTCCCTTCCTTCAGTTGTCACTCAGCGGTCACTTTCGTGGGGAGCTCTGCCTGGATCTCCCATTAGGTCCCTTCTAGCACCATGCCCCTTTTATTTGTAGCACTTGTACACTATCCTTTATAGCTGTAATTTGACCCTGTGGTTAATGCTTTTCTTCCCCATTATACACGCCCTAATAGCAGAGGCCATGCCAGTTTTTGCTCCCGGGCAGGCTGGCTACGGTTGAGTCAGCTCTGACACAGTGCAACCCTGTGTACAACAGAACAAAAGGTTACCCGGTCCTGCACCATCTTTACAATCCCCGGTACGTATGCTTGCATCCACTGTTGTTGCCACCGTGCATTCTGCGTGCCTTCCAATCTGGGGGGCTCAACTTCCAGTGCTATCTTGGACAATATTCTGTTGTGATCCATAGAGTTTTCACTGGTTAATTTTCAGAAGTAGATTGCCAGGTCTTCCTTCCTCATCTGTCTTAGTCTGGAAGCTCCACTGAAACCTGTACACCATGGGTGACCCTGCTGGTATTTGAAATTAGCCAATTGTTTTTAGAAACAAAACGGTCTCCCTTCATACATACAGAATAACTGCTCAAAATGGGCCCTATATTTTAATTCCTTTGTGTTCTGATTATTTTAACAGGCGGATGTGCCCCCTCCTCGGATGCCCACTTGCCCCCACAGGAGCACTTGGATAACACCTATGAAAGCCTGGCCAGCACGCTCCCAGGAACCAAGCTGAACCACTGCCGCCCACCCAGTCCCCAGAAGCCACTGCTGCCTCTGAGGCTCCTGGCCCTCCCCCACAGAGGGACACTCAGGCACTACCACAGTCTGTTGGCAAAGGCTTTCACAGCCCAAAGCCCTCGTCCAGCCCCATCTCTGTCATCTGGGTCTGGAGGAAAGAATGTCTCCAGCCACAGAACCAAAGGGTGGGGGTGGGGGTGGGGAGGGCATGGAGACCCAGGGTGGAGGGCTTCCAGAGACAATGTCCTGGAGCTGGAGGAAGGTTTCCTTCCAGAGACTGTGTCCAGGGGGTAGATTTCACAAAGTGGGCCTCTTTCCTGCAGTAACCACATGGGACCGGCACTCAGATCCTTGGGTGGCAGACTGCCCTTCAGGGAAGGCCAACCTGGTGGCTCTGAGGAGGTGGCCCTGCTCTGTGCCCCGGCTTCCTCCCGGGAGTGACTGGGAGGCACCCCGTGGCGTATAACAAGAAGAGCCACCAGGAGAGGGGCTAGAGGCCCCTGTCATGGACCTACCTGCCCCAGGGTCAGTGACACTCACTCTGGGTGCAGCACAGAACTCAGGGCGCAAGGCAAGGGCGGTGCCTAGCAAGGCAAGGCGCAGCGAGAGCTCGGTGCATCATGCTAATACCATGGGCGCTGCAGTACTGAAAGGAGCCTTGGGGCTCGGGAAGAACCCAAGAACTGCGTGGGGTCAGGGGGTGAGGAGAATGAGACTACTGGCTCCTCCCTAATTCTGCCAGCCCAGACTCCCCTCCATACATGGCTCTGCTGTGAACACAGCACGGAGAAGGCACTGCCCCCCATCAGCATTTAACAAGCAGGCCCCCCAGGGCTAGGCTGTGCCCCGGGGCTGAGGCAGTAGCAGGACCAGGGCAGGGAGGCACCCTCTCTCCTGCACTGATAACCGTGCATAGTACACACAGAACTGGTGCAGAGGAGGCAGGTCCCAGGGGGAGGCGGTGACTCAGTGGCCATTAGGCTGAGGAGTAGCAGGCGGGAGGGCCTGGCCGTGAGGAGACGGGTCTCTGACAACAAGTGTGTGCTGTGGGACATCACCCAGGTCCCCCTGAAGACAGCAGGGTGCTCTAGGTCACATGGAGCCGGCTGGGCTCCCCAGACAAGTTGAGACTTGGCTCCTCTGCCAGCCCCTCGGCAGGGCCTGTGCCCTTGGGCCAATCTCTGCCCCTTCTCCAGCCTCGATTTCCTCTTCACAAAACAGGGAAGATAATTCCTGATTTGTTTTCCTCCACCACATTTTTGCAAAGATAGGATTAATATTACGTGTTTCGTAGATGTTAAAGGCATATATGTGTGCCAACTGGCAGGCTTCATGTGTTATCCAGCAGGCTGGGGGTATGCAAACACACTGCCCTCAAAGGGCAGGGAAAGCCAGAGCGTATACTGGTATGAAGTGACAGAGTCGGCCCACCCTGGACAGTGGCCCTCCCTCCACCCAGACACAGGCTCCTTCCAAACGTGGTGCCTGTGGGACATGGGGAGGTGGCAGATAGTTCAAACTCCTAAGGCTGATGTCATCCAAGGAGTGGGGAGGGAGACCGAGAGAGGCCCTGGCTGTGGAGCACCGAAGATGCGGAGTCCTAGGCCCCACCCTGGGGGATTCTGAGTCTATGAACCTGGGGTGGGGCCCAGGAGTCTTTATTTTAAATACACGCACGCACGCACGCACGCACGCACGCACGCACGCACGCACGCACACACAGTTTACACTGACTTGTAGCCAGTGTGGGGAGCGCCTGGTCTCTCGCAGACAAGCACCACCCCCTCTCACATCATCCTAGAAGCAAATCAATCAGCAATGTCAACCTGAAAGGCCACAGGCCGGCGTCACCCCCTCACGCAGGGGCTGGGACATGAACTTCCAGGGGACACTGCTCCGGACACCTACTCCCAGCCCAAGGGAAAGAAAGGCTCCACTGACCCCTTCAGGGTTCCAGGCGGCACCCACGCTGGTGCTCCACCTTGGGTGCCTTGGTCCTCCACTCGGAGGACGACACCCTTTCTCCAGCAGGCCTGCTGTGTGCCCCAGGGACAGCTGAGCGGGACTGGCTGCCAAGGGCTGAGGCCATAGGACATGGGGCACTGGTGGGAGAGGAAACCCTCACTGTGGCCAACCCAGGCCTGTCACCAGTTAGGGGGAGGCAGGGGCGACCCCAGCAGAGGGCCGGGGCCTCGGCTGACCCATGCAGGCCCTCCACCCTGACCTCTGGGGTGTCTGATGAGAAGCACATCTGTTTTCTTTCTCTCCAGGCCTTGTTCTCCCCAGTGAACGTGGTCCAGAGGCATCTGACATGCCCAGGGTCACCCCACAAAGGGTCACACTGTGACTAATACTGAATGGGAGATGGTGTCACTTTGCTCTGCTGGAAAGTGCTGGTCGTCCCAGCCACCCTCAGGAATGGGGCCTTGCACCATCGGTGGCCCCCGGGTCTGGCCCTGGCAAGTGTCCTCCCACGTCCATCTGTAGGGCAGGTGCTCATGCTCACTCCTCCCCTGGAGACAACGGGTCACGTGGTGGTGGGGTT